CCTTGGCAAAGATGTATAGGGACCCTAAGTGTCTGGTGAATAGTCACAGCTGGATGCATGGTTGAAACAGAATAGAATATATTCAGCTCACATCTCAAAGCCCTTCTGTGACCCCCACATCACTCAGAGTGGAAGCTTAAATGTCCTAATGATCTGATGTGCTCTCCCACCCCCATTACAGCTTCAGCTCCCGCTCATCTCCCCCTTGCTCACTCCGCACCAGCCACTCTGCCCTCCTTGCCGTTTCTCCAACTTACCAAGCAGATGCTCACCGCAGGGCCTTGGCACTTGCTTTCCCCTCTGCCTGGAATGCCCTGCCTCAGAGATCCACATGGCTCAGTCCATTACCTACTTCAGATCTTTGCTCAAATATCATCTCTCAGTGAGGACCCCCCTGACCACTCATTTAAAATCAAACTTCCCTCTCAATCGCAATTCCCCTTCCCTGTTTTATTTTTCTCTAAAGCACTCATCACTAGCTGACACATTTTACATTTGACTTACTATTTGTTTATTATCTGTCTTCCCCACTAGAAGGTAAGCTCCATGAAGACAACAGTTTTCCTCTTTTTTTCACTAGTTTATTTTAATGCTGTATCCCCAGGACCTAGAACAGTGTCTTGCACATAGTAATCGATGTTCTATAAATATTTTTTGATTCTTCCCATTTGTCAAGAGAAGCTGGCAATCTGTATTTTTAATTAAATCCTGTGCTTTTAAAATATTGGCTTAATTTTACTTTTAAAAAACACTGCACGGGCCAAACAAAACATATTTTCTGCTTGGATCCTGTTCATGGATCCCGTACTCCACCCGTTTGGAGCCATTGGTGGAAGTTGCATTTCCCACACGTCGGATAGTCTGAGTGATTTTATTTTTCCAGATTAGTAACTGAGCATTGATAGGCTGGATGCAAGGGAAGAAGAAAGGGGCAGGAAGAGAGAGATGGAACTGACTGGTGGCTACAGGTTCTGGTGCGAAGTATCTGGATTAATTCCAATACCGTGGGGCTGGGAGGCCGACTGTGGCATTGAACTCCACTCAGACAGCCACAGCTCACACTGGGTCCCTGCAGTGCCCTGAAGTGCCACATACAGCCCCTGCCAGCCCAGCCCAGCCCCGTGTTGCACTTAGATACCTGCTGTGTTTCTGCAGCTAAATGGGTTTTCAGGGCTGGTTTTTTTTCAGTTCAGCTAAAACCAGCAGAAGACCTTGGGGATTCTGGGGAATGGAGGCTCAGTTCCTTGACAAACAGTGTTAAAGGGAGCCGGGGGAGAAGTCTGTAGAACAAAATGCATGGGGATAAAGACAAGGTTCTGGAATCTAGCCTTTCTGGGCTTGAGACAGGGTCTTCCTGTTATCTTAAGCCACAGGGTGACATAAGGGTTAGTACCAAGCTGTGGAGGTGGGCGCATCGGGAACAAGGCCTGGCTCTGCCACTTACATGCAGATTTATTGAGTGCCCACTGCACTCACTGAGCTCTAGGTCTTGTGTGAAGATTTATTGAGCACCTACTGGCTGCAAAGTGATAATTTAGGGCCCCTTGTTCAAATACTATAAAGGATTTCTAGATGATGACAGCGGAGCATTAAGACAATTGCAGGCCTGTCTAAGCACACAGTCCTTCTAAGCTTGGTCCTTCTATGCATGGGGCCCTGTGCGACTGTATGGGTCACAGGCTCATGAAGTTGGCACTGCGTGCACTGGAGTTACAACTGTTGAACAAATACAGACCCAGGGCCTTGTTCTCACAAATATTATAGAATAGGTAGGGAGACAAACAGCAAATAAATAATAATAGTAATTGCAAATCATGATAAATATTAAAGGAAACAAACAGGATGTAGTGAGAGTAAGTAAGGGGTGAGAAGTGACTTAGAGAGTGTAGTCAGGGAGGGCTTCTTGGAGAAGGTGACATTTGAGCAGAGACTAGCAGAGCATGAGAAGAAACCAGCCGTGCGAGAGCGAGAGGAAGATGCTATCCAGGCAGAGAAGCAGCAGAGGCAAAGGCCTGGCAGCTGGAATAGGCAGCGCGACTGGAGCATGGTCTGAGATACAGGAAGGGCAGGCAGGTCGTGATAGTTCCTTGAGGTCAGAGTCTTAAATCTTACATGCAATGGGCAGCCCTTGAAGCACTTTATTATTATTTTTAAATTATCTCTTTAAAAAGCCATTTATGTTTGTATAGCTAACATATTCAAGTGGTTGCGAATACAAAGCGTAATAATGTGAAAATTCTCATCTCAGTCCTGGCTACCCAATGTCCCTTCCCCAAGAGGCAAGCAATGTGACCCGTTTCTTGTGAGTTCTCTGCAGAAACACTTTATGCATATACGGCCCCAAATCACATGCACATGTCCTCCTTTCCCTTGTGCACACGAATGGTGTTGTTCTGGAACACGGCCCTACATCTTGGCTTTTCCAGCAGACAGTTCATCTTGGTGATCAGTCCACATCCGTCGTAAAGAGCCTCATTATTCTTCGCAGCTGTGCGGTCCTCCACCGCATAGATGCACCAACACTCGGCCAGATGGTGCTCATCATCAGGCATTTAGATTCCTTCATCGAAAGAGTTTAAGCAGGCCTTTGGGAAGCCTACTTTAACACTCTCTATGACTCAGTTGCTCATCTGTGAAATGGGATGAGAAGAACGTCTACCCCCGAGGGCTATTGTGAGGATTAAATGAGATAAAACCTGAAAGGCACTTAGCAGGTACCAAGCCCTTGATACCTGCCACCATTGATTCTGGCTTTTGTCACTCTGGTTCCTGAAGACTGTTCTTCGGGGCTCGTACCAGGGGTGTGGGGGGCCTTGTGCCCAGGAGATACACCCTCTTACTTCCACCTGCATTTTCACCCCCAGCTGGGATGTGGACACATGACTTCCCTCCTCTGGGCCTGTTACTCCAGGTGTTCAGATAGCCTCAGTTACTCAGACTTCCCTCTCCAGGCCCAGGTGGTTGACCAGGACTAGGAGTCCAATCCTGGGATGTTACACTTTGAGAAGCCTCGGTGGCAAAGCTGAAATGATCAGTGCTGCCCAGGGTGGCTTCGGGCCTGGAGAGAAAGAGCCGGGTGGGATCCATGGGGCGGCCAGCAGTGAGTTTGGACTTGACAGGCAGAATTTTAATAGGAAATGAATTCCCAGAGTGCATGGCTGAGCGCAGGAAAGGGTGGGCAAGCCAGAAGGGCAACAGAATTTGGAGATCAGAGTTCCTAGAAGGGGACTGTGTACCCCTTGCCCCAGCTCCCCCTACCCTCTGGGACCCTCCAAGGGCAGTGTTGCATTTCTGCCGCAAAGCAGGAGGTAAGGCAATCAGAGGAACGTTCGCTGTCCAGATCCAGGGCAGCCGGGGAAGCTCATTACCGGAGACTGAGGCTCTCTGTACCCTGCAGAGGCTTGGGGTCCCCAGGGGGGCCGGGGCAGTCTCATTCAGCTCTTGGCACAGGCAATAATGAGATGTTAAGGTTCTTTTCAGCAGACTTCCTTCACAACAGGGGCCATCTCTCCCCCTACTTTTTTTTTTTTTCTGTTTTCAAAGCAGAAACAATGAAATGGTCATATTAACCTGGGAAGATTATGTTAACCACACAGGAGCAGGCGAAATGGCTTTTCTGTAAGGGGCCTTTTCTCTTCTGTGTCCAACCATCAGCCCTGCTCTGGCTTCACCCACCCAAAGGCTTAACAATTGCACTGACTGCATTCTCTCCCTGTTTACCTCCCAACTTCTCATCTATTCAGCTTCCCAGGAAAAAAAAAAAGACTGTGTTATAACAAGATCGTCAGGGAAATCAGGACCCACTGGACAAAGTGACCTACCTTCGAAAGCTTTTTAAAAAAATAAATTAAATGTAATCTCCTCTAAAAA